GTCTTCATTTATTTTGTACTAGCATTTGGCGAATATCTTAGTTTTGATGGAGCTGCCCACAGAAAGAATGGTTTGTTTTTGTGAATTGAATGTTTTGTACATAAAAGAGACTTCCTGTTTAGAGGATGCTTTGAATTTAGTGTAAGGGGTATTAATACAATGTTTTTCGTTGAAACGTATCTGAGATTGTTTTATCACACTCAATATAATTCAGAGTTACAAGACATCAATATATAGGATTCGAATATTTCAAATTACTGATAAAATTATTTATTATACTCTTATATCTACTGAAGTGATGACACTCATGTCACGTTTTCGAAATGAAATACCTTCTGATCTAAAATATTAAACTGAGTAAATTTTAAGTTACAAGCAGAGTTGTCTTAGATTTATAGTGCATTCCGATAACGCAGCAGTAATAACGTGACTGTGCACGTTAAGGAGGACATGAAAATCGCATTTGATATCGTATAACGCTTAAGTCCCATTATTTTTCAGTCACATGCTACTGTAGATGGCATCCATTTGATTGAACTGCACATCAAAGCTAATTATACCTGACTGATCAACTCTGGTCAAATCTTTCACTAACTTTCAATTTGCGTTGCACATACCACTGAATAATATTCGCTGTGTGTCTAACTGGGAATGTTTGCAACATTAGTGCCAGGTAAGTATAATTTGAATTGTGTTCATGAACAAGATGTTTAAAACTATTATATATAATATTCACAGATATGCATTTTGATAAATTATCATATTACAATCGACATAAGTAACAAAGTTTAGTATCTTGGCATGAACGATTTCATATAAATGTATTTATAACTAATTCCACCAGGAAGCGCCATTTGAAACAATCAAATTCGTTGGACAAACAATAGCAGTATAATAAGCTCAGTTTATAATGTCAACACCATTAGTTTTCACTGCTTTACACAACGTGACAACGCTAAACTGATTACAAAGTAAATGGTTAAATACGATTAACTAAATCAGCTGACTGAATTAAATCGATGTAATATTTGAATCGCTATGGTGACTAGAACACTGTGATTTAGTTTTGATCAAAATTTGGCATGGGATAGACATTATTTGAGGCATTTTCCTGCTTGGGGTGCAGGATGGTACTTATAATAGAAGTCTTAGTAATTTATATTTGCCTGGTTAACAGTAGTGCGGAATTTTGTTACTTGAAATTCCTCTTTTCCATCCAAAATCACTTGACAAAAAGCTTTTCTCACAAGCGTTTGCAGAATAACTTCTTGAATAATTGACCCACTATTGAAAGCCATTTCTTATCAGAGCTGTTTAACTTTTGCAATATTCCAGATGATTGATTTGAAAATATTTTTTAATGAGAACACAAGCATTTTGTAAACTTAAGGACACAGTAATTGTTCGCATAAAGTCCAAGATGTTTCACATCACAACACGATGAGCGGAATAAATTTTCAGCTTTTCTGATACCCCTTCATCTAAGGTCAGTCTGAATATATTCTGTTTACTTCTAATTATGAAGCGGGATATATTCCCTTCCATAACCTCAGTATGCTTGCTATGGTTGTATTGCCATTCAGTATTTTAGTTTATGTTTCATATATCAGTAAATATTAGCTGCTGCAAAGCTAATTAAGAATATTTGCAGAAGAAGTCAGTAAGTATACTTTGCACTTATTCTCATACTTGGTTTTATGAAGCACGATGTTCAATATCAAAATATGTAGAGAAATACTTGCATAGGAATCACATAGTGCTAGTGTATACGTACATTGAGATACCTGCTTTCTAATGTTAGTGTCTTTATGGATTCCTTATCGGAAGTCGAAATAAACATGGAAACTATGCAAGACATTTCGATATCTTGGTACACACATTTGCACTAATATTTTTATGAAACAAATCACTATAGAGTTACACAGAAAAACACTGTGCAGGCATCAAAGTCTTCAAATGAATAGTGACATGAACACTAAAGCCACTTACTTTTTGACTTTTGCATTAGCATTTCTCACTGTATTATGCAACATTATAGCTTTATATGACTGACAAAATGAACTTACTCAAATAACTCTATATGAAGTTAGTAAATTATTACAGGAGTAAATGTTGACAGTAGTTTATTTTGTTGGTAATTTAGAAACTAAGATATACTTATGGTGAAATGTTGCACGGGATGAGGATATATGAGATGCTTTCGGGTGCTGATTGATATATCTAGCGACTCATGAAACAGAGTGACACTTTCATGGGTCATACTAGTTATATAATCTTGTACGGTAACTAGGCATCAGGATTCATATTGCTGCAAAGTGTTTACTACAGTCGCGAACGTGGTTTTTAGTTATTTTTGTGAAACGTATTTGAATATCTTTTTCCTCCGAACCAAAAACTAGTATACATAAACAAATGTTGAAATATTGAATGAGATGACCTATTTGTTTTCTGCGGTACCAAATTTGAGTTTATTCCTCTTATATGTTTTCTTCCTGACACATTGTTCAATCGGCCATCTGTCGAAATTCATCTCGTCTGAGAAGTTTGTAACTTAGTCACGAAACTATTAATACGTTGATATACTTAAGTGATCTAAATGAGTTTGCATACATTTTTCATAAATAAAGGCTTTAATTGCAGTTTATATCAAAGCGAAATGAGATATTCATTTCTGGCTTTTCTGATATCATTTATCAATAAATCATTCAGTCCCTGTTGTTTACTATCAAACATAAAGCAGAAAACACCCCTTTTCATGATCACAACAGGTTTGCTGTCGTCTCTCGTGCTGTAAATTGCTTTTCAGTTATCAGTGAATATCCACAATGATGCTGCTAATTAAAATTATTTGCAGCTGAAGTGGGGAGTGAGTGTCACCTGTACTTAATCTTGAACACGATGAATGATTTGCAAATGTATAGTTTCACGTCAACGTAGTAATCATTAAGCGTCTGTGAATGAATTCATTTCGATACTCAACCTTCTTATCTATTATTTTATTGTTTCACGATTTGTAACTTAACGAACAATGAATTTATATAACAAAGTCGAATACCTTGGTCTAAACACTTTCACTGAATTCCCTTAAAATTACACGGAGGTGGGTCATTTCAATGATCGAATTCCTCGGAAAAAATGACATATGCAAATGTTGAAATACCGTCTCAAATGACCTATTTTCTGTTTAAGAATAAGATATTTCCTTCCTCAATTCAGGTTTATTCAGCTAGTTAAAAAGTGATTTTAATTGGTTATTCACAGTATGGATATATTCTATGTGGAAGAAAAGGATTCTATACACTTAAGGTCATAGTTTTAACTATGGTGAGATATTTCATGAAACACAATATTGTGGAATTAAGTCTTTCTGGATTTTTATTGCATTGGAATTATTGGCTTTGAGAAACAATTTCTGTTTTAAGACTGAAACAAGTTCATGTGAAGGGGGAGTATCATGGTTTGACCTTCACTGGCTATATAATCAGGAGTTCTGGAATAGATTTCAAGTTCACTTAGTTCACAAAACATTTTGATAATAAACATGTCTCACACAAGTTCAGATTCAATGGTTTGAAAAGATTTGAATCATACGAAAATGACACTAAAAGATAACAGCAAATCATGAAAATAAATAATGAATAATGAAATAAATAATTAATAAGCATAATAATGAACATTTTTACAATATATGACAATTATTAGAAAGAGGCTATAGTCAGTTTCAAGGTCATGATGAGTTCCTGCGTCGGCTGGTTATGTGTTTCCGTGAATTCGTTTTCCATTGAATTTTAAAGGTTTTTTGAATGTTTTACGCATTTTGCAGTGTGTGTGTCAGTTTTTGTCACTGGATGCTTCTATTAAGCTTATATTTAGCCTGAATTTCCCAGTTATTATGTCGGTAGTTAAAGATTATGGCAAATCTGCAATCATTGAGCCATTTCACGTATACTATTCTAATATACTAACATTATTTAATAAGTAAACTCCCTAACTGTTCGCCATTGTTTGACATGAAACTGTGCGCTGGTTTTCCAGCATGACTGGCACTAAATCAAACCTACTGGGTTTGCTTATTAGCGTTTTTCCAGCCTGACAAGACATAGTAAGCATTGAATGCCGTTACTTCAGAGCGAAAAGATTCAATTCGGCACGCAGTTCTTATTGAGCACAACCAGTGGCATTTCAGAACACGGTAGGTAAATAAGACCGTAAAAAGGCATTATCGAGGAATAGGTTAGAATAAGTTTAGAATTGTTGTAAGCTTGGTGGTGCTGTGGTCTAAGTGATAAATCGTATTAATCAACATTATTCAGGATATGCTTAGAACCAGAAATGCTCGGCTGAAAAACGTAGTGAATAAGGCTCAGATCGGTGTAATTTATAGCTGACTGTAAAGCGCTGTCATCACGAAACAAACAACCAAAGTATGCTTTAGACTGTCGCTCTCAGGCATTTGAAGGGAAAGAAAGTGTAACAGCATTGTAGATATACATGTTTTTATTATGGATACAAATGGAAACAATAAGTTAGTACAAACATTTTCACAAGAATAATCGATTAACAGGGGCACGCCGTAATCTTAAAGTTGTTTGTGGATCATTTGTTAGCATATCGTCTAAATTTCTAATGACCTCGTCTATTTTCTGCAGTGTACCATTTGGATTTCTTTGGTTCAGACGGATGAGACGACATCTGAGACGTTCATAAGCATTTCGGAACGCGTTGTTTGGTTCAGGTGCTATGCGGATGGCTCGCGGAATGTTGTCCTCTGTGTTATATAGACGTGTCCACCTCTCACTATTTCTCAGAATATCTAAGAGTAACATTTAAAGAAATGGAACATACCACAGTTTAGATATGAGTTTAAGAACGCCTCAACGACATGTGCACATGGCAAATTGTATGCACAGTATGTCCAACATGTGCATTTCGCCTCATTTCTGTTTACGAAGAAGATGTGACTTCCTTCTGCGTAATTGACTGTGGTGGAAGATATTGAAAGAAAGAAGAACATGCGCCTTTGCAAGTCTAAGACAACTTTCTGGGCAGCAAACGGAGTGAGACACCGTAATTTAGACTGCAGTGAAGTTTGCACCTAGGAGAAATCGTAAATTATCTTGAAACTTACATCGTAATTGTAGTATTTACGAAGCATCCACTGGCCTTGATGTATTTTACGTATGGTTGTGTGGTCAATCCACCTCCATATTTTCCATAGTGTCAGTTCCAGCGGATCACCTTTACGTAAATACCTTTTCAACTGCCTATGAGCGTTCTCCACTCTGTTGTTAGTATTGTTCCCCATACTGATGGTGAACCGGTTGCATGATGCGGCCCAATATTTCCGTGTCCTTAGCCAGTACCTTCTAACGTAAGCACCAGCCTCGGCGTCTATAATACTTATGAGGTTGAGGTAATTCCAAAACCTTCGGCAATAAATTGTGATTTGTTAACCTACCTGTCATAACTGCGCGTGTGCGCCATTCGATACAACCATTTTTTAACACGTTGATTTGGGAACTGTTTTCGCTATGTTAGTTAATGGGAATGAAACTTACCCTCCTTCTGAATGCCTGGCATACATGGAAAAGACATAAAATAATGCTGCACCTGGGGAATTCCTCCTTTATAGCTTTGATCTGTGCAGTTGCACAGTCGACAGTGAATGTTTGTGTTTTCGATATATCACCCATAAATCCCTTAAACGTTTGCAATATCTCCTTCATATCTGCAAACCGTTCCCTCCTAGTAACAGCAAACAAAACAGTCCTTCCTCTTCCGAATCCATCAGTCACAACAAACTGATATAAAGGCCATCTGTAATAAATTTGGGGAAGGAATTAGACCCTTTTGTACTGCAACTTACCCCATCTTATTCGTTTTATAGGTAGAATCAATTCCAACTACTTCTGGAAACTTATGATAGAGGTCTATCATATCATTACGCGCGAAAATAATTTTCGATACAAAGTCTGCATTGTCCTGCAGAACACTAACTGGACCTGTCTGCCTCAGTCGATGAAGAAGGTCTTCTAAACTACCGATTTCTACTCTACTGTCCCATTTATTTTGATACGACTTACGTTTATTCATCATAGCTCGCATGTTTTTAATATCATTATACAGGAGCACTTTGCTGAATTTCTCATGCGCAAAATCCATGACTTCATGGACATCAGTGTTCCTTTCAATGAACGGTTGTACAACTGTCATTTCTTCAGATGATAGCCGACGTCTAGATACATCGGTGGACATGAAACTTGCTGTGCATGGATGGTTATGCACAGTTTGGTAATTTGTTATTTTGTATCCGTCGGATGTACGCCGTACCATAATTGTTGACTCACATGAAGTACTTTTGAACCTTAAAATTTTCAAAATTTACAAGCACAGTCGACTTACCCTCTGTTCCTAAAGCCAGCCCCTCGGGGAGCACGTATACATCCAAAAGTGCATTTAAATCTCACAAACTTATATTCCATAGGATCGGATGAATCCTTTTTACTTGAATCAACCCGATAAGATGTGTTGGATTCCTTTCAAATAAATAATGAACAACTTAGTTAGTACCTTCATAAAATCGTTAAAAGCTTCCTTAAACTGTACCCACGTATAAAATACGCAGCAGAGCATTATTCTTCCGAATGTAGCTGTTACATCACACAATAGAGATGACACATTACGTGAAGTAGAGGCAGTAGGAGTATTTGACAACATCATTTAGTGGTTTCCTAACGAACACAACACAATGATTTCAAGTAAATGAACTATAGTATATATTTCAGTGCTTATATACCACTGTTGTGACCTAGTAAATTTAGCTGATTTATACTTACCTGTAAAGCACATATGACAGGCCACTGAACTGACAACTTAAAAGGTGTGCTAATTAAATACTCATTAAGTGTCTAGAAATTGCGGTTGAATCACATTCTTCTAGTAAGCGAAAATGCACACATCCTATTTCACACTTAAAATATGTGTATCAAAATTACCGTTGTCTCATATTCACTTACTTAACATTCTCAGACATCTCAATGAGTCATGTTCGTCTAGTAGGCAAAAATGCACATATCCTATTTTAGACTTAAAATAAATGTATCAATATATGTACTGTTGATTTATATTGACTTAATATACAATTTCAGATATCTTAATGTACCTTTATGTACCACTAATGCATCCAAATAGCCTGTGAATCATCACACTACACTCACACCCATAAAATTAACACGTGATTATATTATGGTAAAGTACGTTCAATTAAACTGCCTGTAAATTTCCGTGTCAAAATAACAAATTACCGCTTAATTTATATTTTAGACCAATAAGAAGCCAGTTAGCCAACAGCCAATAAAAATCTGCCTATATCGCTTTTCCAATTATTAGCGTATAGGGAATTACGAGATGATGATGGTGAGAATATTGGTTAATGTTTACAGGTTATATATTGAATGCAGTAATTGAAATTTTGCATATTGAAACCTATATTTGACTGAATACGAGAGAAGTGTCGATAAACAACTTAGAGTCAATCGCACATGCAAATAACCTCAGGACGTAATGTAGGTTGTTTTGTGTTAAAACACCAATGTAAAATCAATGTCAGCCTGAATTTGAAAATCGATATATATTTTCAAGAGTTTGCTTGCAGGAATTTGATCCGTTTCAAGTGTGAGAATCAATGAGTACTAGATAGATGTTTCTTCTCACTTTGAAACTCAATGGTTGCATGGACTCACTGAATTTCGAAATCAAGATCATTCAGGTACAAGGCGTAATCAGGGACTATTCAGACACTGGGACCCGACTCACTGGCCCATTATTACCAATTTCTGCCAATTTGTGATTCTGGTGTGACCACCAGCCAATTATTCGAATACTGGCTAGTGAGTGGCTGGAGGACAAAGATGCCCTAACTTCTAGTGAGAAGTCGCATCCAGTGGGATCCGCCCGATCAGAAGTAAGGAAAAATGGTGGTCACTCTAAAGTCACGAACTAGTGGGAGGCAGGATTTATGGATTTGTGAGTCAAGTCACAGAGGCTGAATGGTCTATGAGCTTGCCTTGTAATTTAATCTGGCGTTCGAACTATGGTTGATTAGGGTAAACTGTGAAAGAGGTTTGGGAATAAAAATATTTGCAAAAGTAGCCTTTAGTGATTCGTGAAGCACGTTCCATAAATCACAAAAACAAATAATAAACTCATTTGAAATTAGTCATCAGGAAAATTAGAATATTCAAGATTTAAATAGTTTAAAGAGATCGGCACATTCTTAGAAAACATGAACTATTTGATTATGCAAACGTATACCACTTTAAAATCCACCCTGAGTTTAATTTTCATAAAATGTTGAGATATTCATTCCACTCTGCTAATCATCTCTCACTACTCAACTTCACATTGATCTATCACCTCGATATCCTTACGGCTGCAAAATTAATTTTTCACTGTTAGACGAATAGAATTTGTTTGTCCAGTCATAAAAAGGATATTCGCATCCATTGTCTGGGGTACCGCTAAGTAATTACTGAACCTCAGAGAAAATGTGTTCTTTAAAAACAAATGAATCGGCTTTGTGTACTCAATACAAATTATTAGAATTACTGTTGAAGACGGTATATATTGAAAATAAATGTATATCTAATCAATTGTTAAACTGACTTACTTGTGTTTGGAAAGCCTTCTAAATGCTCTTGCTAACCAACTGTGCAGAAATGAATGCCGGTAAGTGTTATTTATTTGAATTTTGAGTAGCAATATTAAAACAGTTAGTTTTGTTGTTCGTGGAATAAAAATATACATTTAAAAAAGTGTAGCAACAAATGGATGTGTATCTTTGATATTCAAGTCGACATGTATATGGGATATGTGGATTAGGATGCCTGGTTTCAGGATTTGATGAATGCAGATTTTCGATTGTTATGTGATGTTAAAGAGTTGGCGATTTTCATCATTGTTCATATAACTACACAAAATTTAGTAGAGAAATATAGTTGAGACACGTTCTTCCCGTTTTTCCGTTTTGCATTCTTATCTATCAAAGTTATAGTATCTTTTGAAGCTACTTCCTCTGAAGGAGACGCAAACTTGATGAATTACAACAACATTTGAAACAAGAACTTTTTTCGCAATAAACGATGGTGTATGTGGGTCAATGTTTTAATCGAGAAAGCTTTCATTTTCATTTTAGAAAAATTAGGTAAGGTCTGATTTATTTTTTGAGTGAAATTCCATGAACCTAATGCTGACTTAAGCAAAGAATGCCATAAATGATTTTAGACATCGATAAGACCTGGTTGATTCTAGACACCGATAGCAGGTGATCACTAGCTTAAATAGTGTGACAATATGTGAGAAACTTAATGAATACTGTTGGCTGTCATGCTGGTCCTCTTTCATTTCGTAAAATTACCAGACAAACACCGACTTCTCATTCAATTTAATTACACACGTGTATCAAAATCCATATTCCATATTGAGTAGTCTCAGTTGTCATGGGGTCACGAGCTTCTGTGAATGCTTGTAACAGAGTGTAACTCACACCAATTCAAAGTAACTGTATTTACAAAATAAATGCTTTTGTCAAGAATATCGTACCGACAAGTTTCGTGAAAAGTGCTCTCTTGTGATGTTTGATCTAATAATGAAAATGTATTATACTTAACATTTGTGACTGGCTAAAGAAGCATGTTTGAGTCAGGAAGCCACAAAAACACGTGAAATGCTTGGAGGCAAAATGAAGAAATCAATTTATGGGAGATTCGTTGCAAGCTTATAATATATACTTTCAGTTTTGATCATAATTCCTCATTAGATTCTTTGTTTAAATGTTCATATGTTTGTAATCCTCAGGAACAGATAGAAAGAAGACAAAATGAAGTGAAAATGAAATCTAACGTGATTTGCAACAACATTTGCCCACTGAGTGGAAAAACCAAGCAATGAAGTGCTTCATTACAGGAATTGCAACATTTAAATCAGTAGGCGCAGTAGTTGCTTCTTTCTGACATCAATGATATTAATTACTGTTTACTAATAGACTGCTTAGGCGCACATTCTCTGGATTTTTTCAAATCGTGGAAAATACCCATTGGAACATTAGATTGAGAAGAATAAGAAGTTCAGCAAAGATATCTTTTCGGCGATTTCATTTTCAAAAGCTGTACAATCGCATTTAAATACATAATTTTACATGGAGACAATTCTTGTTTGATTCTACATAATTATGACAGCGAATAAAAGGTGATAATTATTTCCAACTAGATATGGTTATACGAGAGGCTTAGAAACAAAAATTACGCAGGATTAGAACGGATATCAAGTGTGTAAAAATGAGCATGGATACAAAATTGAAATAATAATTTTCAACTTGAGATGGGAATCAGGAGGTGCGAATATAGATTACAAGAGCCTTAGAAACAAAATTACATGGAATTTAGCAAATTACAGGTGTGCAGAAAGTGAGCATGGAAACAAAATTGATATAATAGTTTTAACTTAAAATGGAAGTTAGGAGGTGTGAATATAGATTACAAGAGCCTTAGAAACACAAAATAATTGCACAGGATTAAGATATAATTGCAAATTTTTTAAAACGGATTATAAATGTGAACAGGAAAAGCATGGAAACAAACTTAAAATAAATGTTTTTATAACTGGAAAAAAAAATGGGGTGAATCGAATGAAGACCGAGGGAGTAAGAATCACACACATAGCGAACGAAAAGGGATCAAAAAAAACAAACACAAAAACAGAAACAAAAATGGAAGCTACGGTAACATACCGAACTAAGTCCATGGTAGTTGTAGTTGTCCAAAAGAAATTAGTTCAACCTCTACAACTACCATGGACTTAGTTCGGTATGTTACCGTAGCTTCCATTTTTGTTTCTGTTTTTGTTTTGTTTTTTTTGATCCCTTTTCGTTCGCTATGTGTGTGATTCTTACTCCCTCAGTCTTCATTCGATTCACCCCATTTTTTTTTTCCAGTTATAAAAACATTTATTTTAAGTTTGTTTCCATGCTTTTCCTGTTCACATTTATAATCCGTTTTTTAAAAAAATTTGCAATTATATCTTAATCCTGTGCAATTATTTTGTGTTTCTAAGGCTCTTGTAATCTATATTCACACCTCCTAACTTCCATTTTAAGTTAAAACTATTATATCAATTTTGTTTCCATGCTCACTTTCTGCACACCTGTAATTTGCTAAATTCCATGTAATTTTGTTTCTAAGGCTCTTGTAATCTATATTCGCACCTCCTGATTCCCATCTCAAGTTGAAAATTATTATTTCAATTTTGTATCCATGCTCATTTTTACACACTTGATATCCGTTCTAATCCTGCGTAATTTTTGTTTCTAAGCCTCTCGTATAGCCATATCTAGTTGGAAATAATTATCACCTTTTATTCGCTGTCATAATTATGTAGAATCAAACAAGAATTGTCTCCATGTAAAATTATGTATTTAAATGCGATTGTACAGCTTTTGAAAATGAAATCGCCGAAAAGATATCTTTGCTGAACTTCTTATTCTTCTCAATCTAACCTTCTCTGGATATCTGTGACCAAGATCACAGTGAAAACACAGCAGTGATTGAGGCAGAAATATTTATTTGTCGAGAGATAGTTTATCCTAAACGTAGTTTCCAGAGGATCAAGTGGTCTTATGTCACCTTCCTATTTATATCAGTTTTATAATGAATCCCTAATGTGCATTCCTTGCCCAACGTGTCCTACTGAATGGTTTATGATGGGATATGACTTCGTTCTGGAGAACAATGACCTAAATTGATATGTGTAACAATAAATACATAAAACATTGAAATATTTAAACACTTTCATTGTCACTGCTTTTAAATATGTATTAAATTTAACTTGTAATATTGGAAATTTTGTTTAATTTCAGAACCATTGCTTTTGTATGTACTACTAATTCTCATACTAAGTTTGTGTGGCTATTTGCTAGGTTTCTTTCTACTCATTCCCTAGCGTGAATGCTGACTCACTATTATCTTTAACGCTGCAAAATTTCCAAATGATTCATATTACGTTGTGTAATTGACATTTCGATCTTTAAAAATACAAATTTCTGCTTTTTGTGTTTTGGTTCCATTTAGAATTCATAATATTGTTGAAAACTGGTTAGTTGGTATAAATGCAGTACCCGAAATGATAGCGAATGTTGAATAATTGATATCTGCGTGTGTGTGGCAATATGCATCGTGAAATGGCAGTTACATTGGTATTTTTGGTGAAGTCTTTCGCTAAGATATTCATCAATACGTGTCGTTTGACAACAAGAATCAAGTGAGAAGAGAACGCTTTCACCGAAAGAGAGAAATTAAAACATTATGACCGTCG